TGTTTTGGTGAGATGAAAGAAGAAAACGGTTCAAACAGATTTCAACTATGGTAGCTTCAGAAGAAAAACATGAACTACTTATCTACATTGTAATACCAGCAATATCGAATGCAAATTTTTGAAGTTTTCTTTTTCTATTTATTGTCATAAAATTACATGTCTAACATGATGTAGTAAAATTTTAAAATGGAAGAAATAGAGTGATTTTAGTAATTTTAGGAAAAATCAGGTACTGTAATGAAGATACCTGCATTAAATACGTCTCATATATTAGAAAAGTTTGGCAATCACTTTTAAGCCGGAATCACATTGTTTGTAATTTGTATTTCAAAAAAGAATTGATAACATATTGTTTCTCCACTTCAATTTTTTCATTTGTAATATGTATTCATTTGATGCTCAGGATTATTCAGATAGTTATTTCAGTAGAATAAAATAAGTAATCGATACTGCCAACTTTTTCGTTTGATACTATTCCCTTCATTATTTACATAAATATCATTTTATCACTGTAATTATTAATTGCTATTATTATAATTATTGCCATATGTACAACATCGTTTCAAATATTATCAGTACTATTGCACATACTCTGTTACTAATATTAAAAGGTACAATAACATATGATCATATACAATAATGAAATTGTAATCATTGTTACAAAAATAGCAATAGAAATAACAGTGATAACAGTTATAATGCAATCATTTTATTATAATTTATTATTCACCTTTGTTTATAATATTTCCACGCAATATTTTTTATAATATCTTTAATAAAATCTTTTTTTTAATTTTGTAAAATATCGGAACTTTTTTCTCTTCTTACTTCAAATAATGACACTTTGCTAACTTTTGAAAAGTTTTTAATTTTGACATTTTGAAAAAAAAAACAATTTGTTATATTACTGATTACAATATATTTGGCTATACGTCTTTTATTGATTTGAAATATTAGCTAAATGTTTATGCAATTTCAGTGCATGCTTTGGAGAACGAAAAAGTTTTAACAGATAAATATAAATTTGCATGATTGATATTTGCAATTTTTAAATAAAATCATTTGAAAAAGGTGTAGAATTGGTGTAGAATTGATTTATTAATCTTTAAAAATATCAAAATTGAGAGAAAAATCAGCAAAATATTATTCAATTAGAATAAGAAAAATAATCTGATCTTGTTATAAAATGCAAATTGTACTAATTGATTCCCGGGAAATTGCCCTCTTTATCGAATTGCAATAACATGTAAATATCCGGAATTTTGCCTTGATACGATTAATGAAATAAGTGAATTGAATAAACGGTTAATGAAATAAATGAAAATGGTGTAGAATTTATTTATTAATCTAATATATAATGCGTTATTACTTTTAAATTAATTTTTTTTTTGCTCAATCAATTTTTTTTAAATTAAAACAAATCCAAAGAAAAAAATTCCACAACTTTTGCACAGAGCTTGCACATATTTAACTACAAATATTTCAACTTAAATTTTAATTTCAAGTAATTTAAATATCAAATGTTTGATTTTGCATTTTCATACCTCAAATTTTTCAAACTATATAGTACTGTAAAAATGAAAAAAAATAAGTATATTTATGAGAGCCGAAATTATTAAAAGCCACAAACTTATAATATCACTTATAAATTTATAATTTATGTATTATTCTGGACATATCTTTGCTAGATAAACTGTAACAGTGACATTATTTACATCTTCAAATCATATTGTTATTCATGAAAATAAAATGGCTAAATAAATACGGTCATATTATTGTTATTTAGCATCAGGTGGGATGTAAATGTATTTTAGCAATTTTTAGGTAGGCAATACCCAAGGATAAATTAAGTTGACAAAATGGAATAGGTCCATGTACATTTGATTATGCATGTATATGTGTGCGTGTATGTCTGTCTCAGTGTGTGTGTGTGTGTGT